AATTTTCACGGTTTTCCGTAAAATTAACGATTTTTTGTTCGAATTTGTGAAATTTCTTCCAAAAAGATGGAACTAAAGGATCTATTTTATATGAGAAAATCTGAAAACCTTTACAAGAAATAATAATAAAAACTTAAAATACGAATGATTTTGTAATGTAAAATTAATGAAAGTGCATTTGTAGAAATTGTGGTAGTATACAAGTTGTGAAGTCAAAGCTTTTCGGTAGATGATGACGTCACTACGATAATCCTTAGAATAAAGAACAAACTTGTTTTTCTTTAATTTTCACATGTATTTTTTGGATTATAAAATTGTTTATGCAAACTTAGGAGAAAATGCCTTTGTAATAATTTGATAGAGAGGTAACTCTTTGACAGCAAGTCTGGAGAAAAGGAAAACTCAAGCGGCATGTTCTTTTAAGTGATAGATCACCTTGCCTTGGCCTTGAAAATTTTTCCTGCTTACAGATGTGATGCTTTGTATGCACTTATACCAAAAACAACCTTTTGCCAGTTTTAATGAAAATAACTGGCGATTAATTTGCATGTGTGATTTTATCCTCTAATTAGTTCAAATAGAAATCAACTATTAGAGTTTACAGGCCAAAAGCCCTGCCAACATTCAACCATCAAATCGACAAACATTTTGCGGGTATTATAAATAATGTCCCACCGTTCGAATTAACCGAATATACATAGTTTTCTATAAAACAAATTGCTAAAAAGGCGAGCGTTAGAACTACGTTACCAATGGTGGTAATGCATGACACCAGTTCAGCTATAGCTTGTGCCAAGCGCTTAAAGTCGCTAAGAGATAAAGAAGACTGTACGGCGCTAGATTCTAAAGAATACATTAATTTTATAGCATGCCCGAAAAGCGCTTGATAAAGACCATTGCGAACAAACTGCTGAAGCATCAGCATCATAATACGTAAAACAACTTAACTTACTTAACTTAACTTACAGTGTCAACGTAACGGAGAAGTTTGCTTAAATTTAATGTCAAAATTTGTGTTGTGGATCTTTTTGCAATTTGTTCTTTATTTTCTTCATAATCCACTTCTGCGTGGTTGACTGGACATGGATTAGTTATATACACCATGCCGTGCTGCTGACGTAGTCGCTGATGCCTCGAAAGGCTTACGTTGATCATGTCCTGACTGTAGGAAGCGGGACATTGATTTTTACGAACTCTTTACGGAGACGAGAAATGGTTTCTCGGAATTGAGTAAAAATCTCGTCTCCTTGTGGGAGAAGTTTGAGCTAATTAAGTCTAGGTTTGATGAGTGTGTCGCCAAGCACACCAACCCTTTAATTTGCCGCTCTTAAGTATTTTAGTGAAACCTAGAGGCAAAAGAAATGCCGCTGCTCTAGCACGAGGGGAAACCAATGGGTTTCAGAAAAATGAGGAGGATTGCGTTAATAGGCAAAATGAGATTCGATTCTAATTTGCCGTTATTGAACATTTTTGAGAAAACTTTCAAGTCCAAAAATTAACAAGATATTGATAGGAATCAAACAACGGACGGAAACTTATTAAATATTAACAATGATGCTAAGGTCATAGAGAAAAGTAAAAAGAACATGAATAGGCAAACAACGGTTGCAGAGAGGATAAAGCGGAAGCCATCACAAACGCGCAATTGACCAATACGTCTGCAGCCAGGTCTAATTTACCTTTTAGATTAAGTCTAAATTGACCTATTGAGACTTTTTGAAAAATATAAAGATATTAGTAATGGTAGCAAACAGGATACCCTAGATAACAGAATGTCGAACCAATACATGAGGAAGGTGTAACTAAAAGTAAAATAAATGTACCTTTATTGTCTATTCTAAGCAATACTTAACCAGCCGCCAGCTCACAAGCGCAATTGACAAATACTTCATTTGTTGATCCTAATTTACCGTTATTAAGTATTTTAAGAAAACCTTACAAACTGAAAGATCAAGTAACCACGCTCATAAAGATAGTTTAAGTAGAATTAACGTGAAATGTGTTTGCTGCTTATTGCCGGTGACAAAAGCATACTGGAAAAAATATATGAAATTTTTTTCGGTTTAGGCAAAGCAAGCAAAGTAATTATCTACTTATAACCACGGCGATGGGATAAGGGAGAACTTTTTCAAATGTCTCTCGGATTGAAAAATATGCTATCAATGGCCAAAATAACCCAATTCAATAACTATACTTTCGCCATTGTTTTAATTTACAGAAGACGAGAACAAAGAAAAGTGGCTTAAGAAGAACAAGGTTCTTTAAAGCATAATAAGAATTAAGAACTAATATGTATGCTACAAAGTTTTAAAAGTTAGATAACATGAAGTAAGTTTATCATTAGCAAAGTGGAAATTGACTCAACTAATGAACTTAATCCAATCAAAATTCATGCAAAATTTGTAAAGCATGTGGAAATTGACCCAGCTGTAGAACTTAACTCAATTAAAATTCATGCAAAATATGGAAATTAACTTAGCTGCAGAACTTAACCCAATCAAAGTTCATGCGGTATTTGGTGAGATTTTTTTTCACCATTTTTCTTATTTATTGAAAGCAACTCTATGCTCTCTCCATTCTCTATAAGTAGTACTTTTTTAATAAACGGTGTAAAGGAAAAAACAAGCTAAAGGCTTTCTGTAGAAACAAAGGAAATATTACTACCTGTCAAACTCTACTTTATGGCTTCGTCTTACGTAGATAAAAATGATTCGAAAGACTGCCTAAAAAATATCAGGTTGTGCTCATAATAGTAAAGGAAAAATATTCATTTAAAGATTTACATGAAAATAAAAAAATTTACAATAAATTCAGGTATGACCGGCATTACGCAACTGATAAGTTCGCCAGCTGCAATATGATGTCAAGCAATATAATAAATTCTCCTGTCAGCGTCACAAATTCCGCTTTATCTTGTGTTCCATTGCTTTCCAGAAAGAAACGTAAATCTCCTTGCAAGAAAACCAGATCTCCCATCTCTAATGTAGAACGAAGGACGTGTAATGCCGCTAGTACGCAACGTTACCTACGCTAGACTTAGTGGGCTTCTACATTCCAAACAAAAAACCTTTACGCTTTAAATGGATTTCGATATCAAGAATATCAGCAAGGAATCTTAGTAGTAAAGAGAAAAAAAACGAGTACTTGATATACACCCATGGTTATATAACCGTTTTATTTTTAAAATCATGAAACACCCCATTACAAAATAATAATTGCTAAGCTGCTATGATTATATACGCTCTACAAATTTAGAAAAGTGTAACTAAAAATTTTCCATCCACATTTCAGCCAACACTTTCAACATCTTCCATATCTGCAAACAAACAATAAATACAGAGGAAATTCATTAAAGATACTACTATTAAGGAGGTATTAAAATGCATTTACCAATTGTCTCGTTTTCCGCATCCTTCACGGAACTAGAACGAGATGATATATCGCTGGCAGCAGACGCGTACGGTGTATTTGCCAATTGTGTCCATAAACGAGGTAAACGTACGCATAAGCGGCGAAGTTTGTAAGCTCGACTTTTTTCATCATCAACCCCAGCTTCTGTCGTAACGTGACTCGAAGCTAAAAAATTATTTTTAAACTCAATTATTTTGTTACAAACTCACGTTTACCTTGGTCGGGATTGAAACGCTTCAAACGTACAGCGCAACGTCTAAATAATAATTGATCGCGTATATCCCCAACTTCCCTTTCCCTTAACATGGAACGGCTAATTCTTACTTTCAATCTTTTCAGTTTATACGGCGAAGGCATTTCACAACAATTTTACTATAATTTTCTTCAAAATCTAAAGATTCTATTCACGTATGTTTGTTTATTTTATTACAATTTTTTTAACAGATGTTTACGTTTAGAGTTGCCGATTGTACTTCAAGGAGTTTAATGAAGGGCACATTACCAAAAAAAAAAGCTTTAACCTCTTCGAGCCTTTGGCCCCGTATATTGAAGTTTAGTTTGTCTAATTACATATATTGTCAATAATAAACAGAACGAATATTTGACATTAATTTGTTTACTACAAAATCGTTCAACAAGAGTGGTTAACATTTTATGGCTTAGCTACATTAGGATTGGTATTTCTAGTGTTAAATTCGAGGTATAAAAAAATTAATTCTCGGCAGTTGGTGCTATTGAATTCTTTGAACAAAGCGGTAGTACCTGGTAATATATATATCTTAGATGCAGGTAATTATAAAAATTACTAGAAATTTTTGGAGAAGAAACGCAGTTCATTTCATTATGTACACAGATTGTCACAGAGAGGGAAAATAATAACAACTCAGACATGGGTTTTGGAATGGATGTGAACGTGATCTGACCAATTATATTTATAGAAAAATTTTCGGATTCTGGTGAAAGTTCTCAATATCGTAAACCGAAAAAACGAAGACGTATTTTGGAAAATGGCGATAAAAACCCAGTTGATGTAGACATGAATTAACATCGACGTGCTACCCTTCGGAAAAGAATGGTGCATTTGCCGAAAAATATTCATCGATGCCTCCATAAAATATTTTTTTAGTTAGCCTGAATAGACGAATATATATATATTCATATAACTGTTTGGCCTCTGGCTGTCAGTCCTAACATATTAAAAGGCTTATCTAGAAGAGCAAACATGATATAAAATTTTTTCTCATAACTCCCCACAGGTTAAATTAAAAAATTTGGTAACTTTTTCGAGTAAGTTTGGCCATGAACACAACGCCCAAACCTACCTACAAATTTGCTTTTCAAGCGTTGAAGGAATGAAATATCAATATAAATTTGTAATGCAGGCCAACATTTTTTTCTTGATTGATCTCATATAATTGGAATAGATTTCACCATTCCAAAAAAGAAGATAACAGTCCTCTTAAACTTAGACAAATGTTTGAAGTTAGGCTGGACGATAAGAAAGTCTCTACCGACTACATGCAACAGTTGGTAACGAACAAGTGAATTTGCTTATTTTTCCGACTTTTTCTTAATATTTCAAATGCACGCACGTTCATAGACTTTATTAATAAATGTTAAATTCAAATTGAAAGACTATTTAAACAAATTTAACAAATAATAGCAAATTTTTCACTTGGCATCACTGCGTACGTCCAAGTGATTACCACTTTGATGGTATTTCAAACATGTATCCAAAACCTGATAATATTGATGAGGCAGATCCCCTCTACAGCCATATGCGCCCAATTTATGAATAGCAGCGTAATCATAACAATCGATGACCTTGTCATCATTACAATCTTGACCGAAACGTGTCATATAATTTTGTATGGTATTAGCAGCGCAATATGGATCGTTTACACAGTTAGAATAGTCTAAAAACGGACGCGTAAGAAACTTTTAGATATAACAGCGAAGAAGAATATGAAATTTTTCATTTACCAAGCTCTCGCTCGATTGAGTCATTGCCCAAAGTCAATTTACCAGCGTCAGCCCAATAGGCCCAAGTAATTCGAAAAAGACCACAAACACCGCCCGAGCAAATCGCAGTCTGGTTACAACCACTTATAGCCTCACATATACATCCTAAGCAAATGTCGGTTACCGGCTTTTCTGAGAATTACAAAAAAAATCTTAAGCAATGAAAAAAGTAGTCAGCAGCAAAATTAAATTAAAACAAAAATTGATAATAGTGTTAAAAAGTTATTAAAAAGTTATTTAATAAAAAATTTGATTTATAATCAAAATCGTCTTTTACCATAGCATTGCTTACAAGATCATATCAAAAAGGTAACAGGTAATATATTAAACTTGTAGAATTAAATATCTCTTAATATAGTTAAATATATCAGAATGTTTCTTGCTTCACGAATGCCCCTGAACCTGCACAACCAATATTCAAGAGCAGTAATTTAATCATTATTTACTATGTATTAACACGTACGACATAAACGCTACCCAACTTGTTTTACAACTTGAATAATGAAAAAGTCGCCATATATCATAGTTTAATGCAAAGAGAAGAGGATAGGAGATGATTTTCATGCTTACAAAGTCAATAAAAAAGTAAATAATAAATATAAAACCTTGTTTCCGTTAGTAGAAAATTTGGGTTGGGTTTTTTTTTTATTACATAAATTTCCACATGGAACCGGTTATTAATGCTTAAAAGATTATTTCGTTCAGAATGAATGTACATATTGAACATGGCAACGACAAGGTTGCCTTTTCTCAATAACTATTGACATACACCTAAATGTGCTCGAAGACACACTGCAAATTTATTTACAAAAAATAAAAAAATAAATATATATATATATATATATTTAAAATATATATTGAAAATAATACGCTCAAGTAAATTCTTAAAGTAAAAATGATTAATGAATGATTCAAAGAGGAATTTCTGAATTTTTATATCCTGCACCATTTGCGGTGTGGACGTATTTAACATCCAGCAGGGCTTACAATAGACCCACCTTTTATTATACCGAACAATCCAGAATCGTTTTTTCAATTCAAGCTTCTCTGTCCATTTCTCTGCCTGTCGCTATAGGTTGCAATTTTTGAGATATTTTGATGAAGTTTGATACACTGACTTGCTTTGCCATAGAAAGAACGCTGTTGAAAAGGTTTGGATCGGTCCACTTTTCCGATTATTCCCCATCATTTGAAAGGGGTTATAGGAGAAATAATTCATTACATATATGTCAATAATCATTATTATTTTATCAATATCAAAATTTATTGACAAAACTCGCTCTCTAATAGCATTTGGACATTCTAAATTGGTATGAAAAATTTGATTCAGCTGGGGCAATTTTTCAACCCCCTCCAATGTAACTGTTCATACGAAAACTGGATTTTTATATGATAAAAAGATATAATTTTCAACATTTCGTGGTGAAAAATGGTTCATAGAAGTGAATTGATATAAAGATCAACTTTGCCAAATTCTAACCATGTAGGTCCACTTTTTGCATATCACCGCATATAAAGATTCTCAAGAAATGTGAATTCTTATATTTTAAAAAGGTCTTGGATCAAATTCCATATAAGATTTCTCATGAACAGTAACCTCTTATAAAAAAATTAAATTATTAAAATGTTTAAATTTTAATATTTTATGACGAAATTATTGCATAGTAACACTTTAGTGAAAAATTAACGGTGCTGAATTCCAATCAGATAGATCTATTTCATAAACCGTAATATATATAGAGATTATAATAAAAAGTAAGCCCTTATATGGAGAGAAAGTTTAATTGCCAGATTTTATGATGGAAACTGAAAACTTGCTAAATTTGGGTCACCTCAGTTGCCGTTTTGGGCACCTTCCATCGCGTGGACTTTCATGAAAAGCATGGCTTTCCATGAAAATTGTGTATAATTTTGGTGTATTCTTACTACAATGAGTGCTAAAGAAAGTTGTGTAGGGTATCTTATTATTGTTATTGCGACAACAATGGAAGCAATCAAAAAATTAAATTTTTTTGTTTTGTTATTGTTGTACAGCAGATGAAGACAAAGCAATCACACGTATAAGTAAAGATATATGTAAAAGAAACCTATAATCTACCTATAATCTTTCAATACCTAACATATTAAGAAATAATGCTACTTTCTGGTTACTCGTTTTGTATGATGTTTTTATTTTTAGAGGGCTTTCGTGCAAAAACATAGAATAGCGTCTTAGCATCGCTTGTGATACGGAGTATATTAAGTTTCTGCGATCGTTTGTAACACCCAGAATGGCTTGAGGTTGTCCGTTTGTGTGTATGTCCGGTTGCCTGTCTGTTTTCTGTTCTTTTTTTTTTTTTTTTGTGTTCAACCTACAAGACGTAATTTGCGAGATATTTCGATGAAACTTGTTACTTTAAGTTGTTTTGGCCTAAGGTCGAACGCTATTGAAAATTATTCAGATCAGTCTCTCTTTTTGACTACTGCCCATATATCGCCTTATTTTGGAAAGTTATGCGAATAACTGTAGGATTGCGTAGGATATTTAATCGTGGGCTACAGCCCATTATAGTGTTTTTACTTGTTTTATTATTAAACTGGAGCAGTCGTATACATGTATGTCGCATTTTCATATACTTCACCGTGTCGCATGAAGAGTTCGGTGTGATTTCAAATTCCCGTTTAATTTCTACTTGCCAATCAGTGATAAAAAGTAAACTTAGTTACGCTTACACGCAAGACTTTCCATATCGCACAAATCATATTTTGGAATGCGAGTTTTAGTTTAGAAAATTTGGATTGCTGCCTGATTGTGTATCAACCGTATCGTCTATTATTGCAGCTAGTTCAAGATATGGGGCAAGAGGATCAGTTATTAACATTTAGTTGGCGAATTGTTAATGATTCGTTACGTACTGATGTTTGCTTGTTGTATCCATCATACCAGGTTAAGTGAATTCAATTCACAACAAGTATTCATAGTTAAATTAACAAATCTGTATATCATTTAACAGATTGCTATAGCATGCTTACAAATCGCCTGTGTCATATTGCAAAAATACTCGATGAAGCAATGGTTTGCTGAACTTAACGTTGATTTGGACAAAGTTCAGGAAATTGTACGCGCCATTGTTAATCTTTTCGAGTTATGGAAAGATTGGAAGGAAAAAGACGAAATACAAATGCTCTTAGCGAAAATACCGAAACCAAAACCTGCACCTCAGCGATAAAGTTAGATAAAAAATAAATTATTCTCATTTTTTCATAGTACATAGCTCTAAGAATGAAGACGAATGTATATCCCCACATAGCAGGGCCAAATCTTATGTCATTCAAGAATTCGATTTCTTGATCGAAGTCACAGCCTAAAGCTAAGACTAAAGTATTTGATTGCGTTTTTTTCAATTGACTTCAAAGCTCAGTTATAGTTTAATCGAAATATTCTCTAATAAAAAGCTTTGCAATTTGTTAATCATTAATGTTAAGCGATTTTATCGCCGATTATTCAGCAATTTCTTCGAAAAAATGTGTATCTTAAATCGGCGCCTTATTTATTTAAATCAATATGCTCAAAATACGTCAACGTACTAAATTCCACTAAAATATCTCAAAAACTGCGGTATATAGGATCAACACAAGAAAACAAAACCGACAGATACGCACAAGCTTAAATTGATTCAAAAGCGGTACTCAATTTATCGACGTGGTGAGTCTACCTAAACACCTTCTGGGTTTTGCATACATTCGCACAAAGTTAATACGTCCGTGCACAGCAAGCAGTGCATAGTATAAAAATTACACCCATGCACTACAAGCAGTGCATAGTACAAAAATTTTTAAAAACTTCAAGTCACGTGATAGTGATAATAAAGAAATACATTGATAGGTCTTTCGCCAATAAGTTTGAGAAAGTGACAAGATCATTACGATTTTTACAATCACCCGATTTACTTTTAAAAGTGCCTGATCCGAAATAGTTAACTGCCAAGGGTTCACATTTCTTTGCCTTAAAGTCGTTACAAACATTTTATTAAGTGGACATTTTTATTACATTAAATTATATAAAAATTAAAATTACAATTAATGATAAGTGTAACAAAGTATGTCATTAACAAAACTAATACTTTGTTATACACTACACTAATTGTGCAGCACCTAGAAGTGCTTGAGATAGACCTACTTCTTATTATACCGATCGATTTAGAATCTCTTTTTGGTTTGATTTAAACGTGTCTTTCCGTCTATTCATCTTTTTCCTTGTATTTAACCTGCAAGCTTCAATTTGTTACACATTTTGGTAAAATTTGTGTGCTGACTTTACTGGTAAATGCAATTGGTGTCTTATAACGAAAAATCAAGTTCATACGATAAAAAGGTATAATTTTCAATTCTTCATTTATATCACAATAATTAGTAATTTGACTTAAAAACTTAACTGTACTAAATTTGGACCTCCTCGGACTATTTTTAGGATCCTATCCTTTCTGATCCAAATTTTTAATATCAATTTTTAATGTCGAAATACGATTAGTACGCAATTATTTTGAATTATGAAATATTTAATCTTTATTTTTACCATATGAAGGCTTACTTTTTGTAGCCACTGTTATATGGAAAAGGTTTCACGAAATTTGGCTTTCCGATCAAAATTTTTTTTATCAATTCAGATGCGATTACTATGTGATCTTTTTGAATCGTGAAATTTTGAATCATCTGACGGCTTTCTAAGCAGGGCAGTAATTGTAGAGAATTCATTTTCAATGGGATTGTTTTTTAGTCTAAAGCGCATTGCTGGTACAAATTTTGTTAATCGAATTGAAATTGAAAAATTGAGACTTTTTAGTACGAAGACAAACAATGGACAAACAATGAGGGAGCCCAAAATCGTTCTAAGTCGAACTGGCTTCAGTTTAAATCTTTCCGAATTTTGCAAATGTCTGCATAAACTTAATATACGCTCCATCGCAACTGATGTAGGGTATTTAACACAATAAGAATATGGTTAAGCACAAAAACAATCGTAATAGCCATGTCCGAAATCTCTGCCAGTTTAACGAAGTTCGTGTGCTTTCCGGGGCAAAGAAAATTCTCAAATGCAACACTCAACATAAGGTATTATTCCAAAGGGCATAGTAACTATTTTCACATGTTTTTTAATACTGATATTTATAATTCCCTTTAGAAAAATTTGGAAATTCTTTGGATCATCCGATTTTTTGACTATCTCGAGAAGACATTCACAAGTTTAATTGATTAGATTCTGCATCATCAACGTTAGTCAGATGAAATAGGATTAACGTTGGCAAGACGACGATTCCAAATTCCGCGTTAAAACTTGAAAATTTTACAATAAGATAACACACTCAGAGAAATAAAATTTCTTAATAATATAGATTTTCGATGCAGTATTCTAAAAAGCTGAATCAGAGGCAAATTTATCACGGTTTAACAGAATCGTACGCAAATTTCTCACACTAACAAAATCGAAAGGATATTTCTATTTCAAACTCTATGAATGGATATGATTGTCTTTCACTTTACGAATATTTGGAACCAAACACGCAATTCAAAATTGATCAAGGCTCTACGTTGCTCCAAACTTGTTGGTTTAGCATCAAACCGTAACTTAACCGGAAAAAGAGATCATGTGAAACGTGATCCTTTCTTTGTTCTTGAAAAGCTAAAAGCTGTAGGAATTTGAGGTATGTCCGCCGGACGCGGGAGTGCAATTGCTCATAGTGTCGGCGACCATTTACACTATTGAGGTTCCAATGACCATCTTGAGTTGCTGAGTAATAGTACAACTGAAATGCTTCGGACAATTCGAAAAATGCTCGTTTCAAAAGTAAGGGTCGCCGCGTTATTTTAAGTCTCTATCATTGATACTTTTGCATTCCATTGGCCTTACTACGCAAACGTTTACACTGTTCTCAGACTGTTTGTGCCATGTGCATCATCATGTGATCGTTTATCCTTTGATAGCATTGCAGTTGAAGATGAAAGAAAATAGTATACGTTTAATAAGAAAGAAGAAAAATTTCTTATTTACAGCACGCACTGAACACGATAAAGAACTGTGGTACGATCAGTCCGAATTCAGTATTAAAATGGCATTGAATTTAAGAGAAAAAGCTAAAGTAGCAGAAGTTCGTGACATTAATTACAATTTTATGGCAGATGTCCAACGACCAATGTCAAAGAAAACTTTTCAAATGGGGTTATGCATGGAAAGTGTCGTTTACAGTTTCCTAATGGAAGCGTTAAAGAGTTTCCTATATTAAGCATCACTTAGGTACTCGAACTTGAAAACGGATTCCTGCGTTACACACAGTTTCTTGTAATTATTATTAACTTATTCACAAACAAGACACACACACATATATACGTATATATATTTATATATGTATTGTCATTTTAATAAATAACGAAATCAATTCATCGCTTGCATCCATATAACACCTACTAACGTAAAGAAATGTGTTAATAAATGCGAATAAATGCGTCACATTCAAGTAAATTATAATTAGATTAGATTGTACAACTTAGCACTGAACTAACATAATAAATGTTGCTTGTACCTGTTAAATCACATGAAGTTACGTTGAATTTGGAGACCGCACCCCAGTGATCATATAAAGCCCATCGAATTATTCTTTTATTGAGCATGATCTTGCAGTGCCATCGACTAGCACATACTTTTTTTTTTTTTTTTTGAAATGTCGACAGCAAGCTCTCGTGATCTTAAAAATTAACATAGGAAGCAGTAAAGTGCGGAACAAACAGCCAATCTTAGTCATTGTATGAACGAAGCACGTTCGTGCACATTTAACACAACACATTATTGAGATTTTTAACTCTCTTGCAAATGCGAAAAATGAAATAAAAAATCATGAGGTTAAAAACTGAAACTTGCTAAAGTTTTCTTTAGTATAACTACACCCAGATAGACAAACAAATCAAATTCTTTTTCATATGCCATAACATTCATGAGCTTATATCTCATATCTCATTATTTCATGATATAAATAATTAATTTGTCGATATCTATCGTCATATACACATTTTCCAACACATTAAAGGAATAAAAAAATATTGATATTTGGAGAGATCAAATTTTACTGTACTTATTTTTAACTCATGCAATACATTCCCATTTCCACTTACATGCATCTATATATCGAATGACGTTATATCCATTATCACTTACGCTATTAACATTTTTTAAAGAGATTTAGATTTTTTATAGGGCCATCAAATAAGTGTCTATTTTAAATTTGTATTAAAAACTAAACAGTAAAAGAGATCAACAAGAATTTCTTTTGTACCCTACACCACTTGCGGTGCGGAGTATATTAAGTTTGTACAGACGTATGTAATAAGGATATAGGCCCACTTTTTATTATACCGATCGATTCAAAATCATTTTCTGACTCGATGTGACGACATGTACATTTCTGTTCAAGCTACCGGTCGCAATTTTGTAAATTTTTCAGTGAAGTTTGGTACTCTGACGTGGTTTGACCCAAGGCCGAACGCTATTGAAAATTTATGGGGTGCGACTGCCTTTTCGACCGCTTTCTATATAATGCCCTATTTTCGAAAGCCGTTATATGGAAAAACTTGGAATATCTGCACATTCAAGATGTTATGAAAATTTTGATTCGGCGAGGGCAATTTTTTTGATATAATTTTTAATATGTCGTTGTGAAAATGAATTCATGACCGTAAACTGACAAAGAAATCAACCTTACTGAATTTGAACCCCTTTAGCTTATGTTTTGAATACCATCACATACGAGGATATATTACATATATTTAAAAAAAAATCAATCAGAAGAACTTTGGATTTACGTGTATTTTCGGAACCGCAAAGCGGATGGCCCTGTATTGTAAAAACTTGAACTATTTTCATGTCATTGTGTGTATGTCGTTCTAATTTTGCAATTGTGCTTACGAACCTCATAGGATTTGGTAATAATTAATCGTTGAAAAGCATGGTGCAACTTCCGATAGGAAATTATGACTCTCTCTCCTCATTTTCTTGAATCAGCTTACAAGAGGCTAGTCAGTGCATTAACATAAGAATTTTGTTCTCCTAGAAAATCTTCTGAACGTCACTCTTAACTACTTACGGGGACTATTGGAGCGAAAAAAAGATATATGTAAAGAACGCACTCAGACGAAAGTTTGCTGCTTATTTTCAAAAATCAATTTCACAAACTGAGCTTGAAAATAGACGTGAGTCACTAATCTTACAACTGTTAAAAATAATTTCGTAATAAGGACAAAAGTTGTACTAAGTTCCCCCCGCAATAAGAAAACGATCAATGGTAGATATCGATTCCATATTTCGCCACATTTTTGCGAGGTACGCAAATACTATTTAAATGGTATAAATATACTACTGGCTCGACATAATCTCATTTATTTATAAAATCTCAGTCTTAAATATGTACACATCGAACAAAGTTCTATTTTAGTGAAAACAACAATTTTATACTTGAGAAATGGGTTAAATGTATATACGTGCAAGTATGTGTGATGGGTATCAAAATACTCAGTGTGATTTGAATTTTTTTTTTTTTTTGTTGCACTCATCACTAAAGAAAAGAGATATGCTCTATTCTATTTGTTTAAAATTAAAATGCGCTTTGGAAAATTGAAAATATGTATACATATATATATATATACGTATATGTATATATTTATAGATGTAGTTAGTCAATCCGAAACTCTATTCCGTCTGTCTGTTTGTCCTTTTTAAGTAATTTTGTTTTCAAATTTACACTTTGGACACATTTGCATAAATGAAATTTTTAGAAATGAGCGTAACCCAGAGTAAGCTTGCAATTGCTAAATTCTGTCAAAAACATTAAAAAACAACCAGCCCCAGAGCAAGCTTACAGTTGCCAGATTCTAGGAAAAACGTTTAAGAACTAAAACTTTTTTCTAGGTCCAAAATTCAAAACAAACGCCTGATTAAAATTAAGATGCAGGACAAACGGGTGCTCGTAAACTCGAGCTCCGAATAGTCTATTAACAACCATAAAGTGATTTGAAACCTTTGTGACTGTAATAAGTTTACTTCTATTGGCAGGCGTCCAAGAATCGACATAAAGGCGTAAACAACTTTCATGCTTGTTTTTCACTGAAACTAATGAATTGTGCAAAATGAACATTAAAATAAATTATGCAAACATACTATGCTTTCACGCAGCAATGGGAATGCAAAGAAAAGATAAAGAGGATGTAACATTACAAAGTAGCCGTATATGAATAAATATCAAAATTTTTTTATAAACTTTTGATTTTTTGTAAATAAATCCACGCAAAATGCTGTTGTACACGACCATGTATTAACATTTTTTTACCTAGTTTTCACTTACCCTGCGCAGTAACAGAACTCAATAAAAAGAGTACTCCAATTAACGCAGGGATGTAGAAAGTCTTATTAGCCATATTTTGATATTTCTACCAGTATTTTTTAATATTTAACAATAATTTGCGTATAAAGCCAGTTCACACTTCCGATAAATTTTAAATCGTTTTTTTAGTTAGTAAAATGTTTTGTTTAAAAGTATTATGCAGAAGCTTATATATGCCTATATATTCTCTCTTATATATACTCTCGGCTACTGATACCGACTGTTGAGTAAAGCTTACAAAAATGTAAAAAACGCTTTCGTCTCATCAAAAGCTACTGTAAACAGGTTGTAACGGTTGAGTTAAACAGTTAAACATATAAACAATACAAAATAGCACAACGACAACAACATGCAATTACTATGCTTAGCATTTACTTTGGGCTTCGATAAGAAATGTACAGCAAAGTAAATTTTACTCAACAAATTCAAAAGAAGCAAGTAAGAAAATTAAATTCGGCAGGCACCGAATCTTTTATACCTATCACCGTCAAAAGACAAAGGATATATAAGAACAAAATTTTCATGCTCGGCATGGGCGCAGCTGATTTCTTCTATTTCAAAATAAAACTTTTTGCCGTATAAGTATATGGGCGTTGTACGCGTACCCTTTCAAAAGTTTAGATCAATTCTAAATTCTTTTGCAAATTTATAGGCAATATCTTCATTTTTGCTAATTTTTGTTTGCCCCAAATTGAAAAAACAAGTAAAGTTTGATACACTATGATGTTGGATAGGCGTGGTCAATTTTTCCATCTTTCTTCCAAAAAAAAACCAATTTTTCACTTCTTTCCAGAGGTGTCCTCAATTTACGTGGTGCTGTGGGCGTATCCTTCGACCGAATTGGCAAATCGTCAATACCAACCCGCATGCAAGAACTTCCAATGTTTCTGCCGAATATGAAGTCGATAACATCATTTTTGTGGTCAGGAGAATGTTTACAACAGACATTACACAGACGGACATCCTTAAACCGATTTAGAGTTTGATCAAGAATATATGTACTTTGTGGGGTCTATGGTACCTCCTTCTGGGTGCTGCAAACGTTTTGACAAAATGGACAAAGCGTTAACCTTTCGATGTTGGGTATAAAAGTTATATACAAAACTAATTGAAAAGAATAAGCTAATTCTCTGATCCTAATAAAATTCTAATTTATATTAGTGAAAATAGAAATAGAAGAAATAATAAAATAAAACGGTTAATTTTGCAAGCTCCTATTATAAAGAAGAAAGTATGGCCTAATGTAGAAGCTCCAACATAACAGCCGAAAGTATGAATGGACCTGAACAAATAATTGCAAAGAAATATAAAAATTCCAATTATAGCCACGCCTTCTTCGCCTTAAATAAAACGTAGAAAGTATATAGGCAGTGTTAGAAGGGCCTGCCATACAATTATTTGATATTACAGTTATTAGTATTGTGATTTCTCTAGAAGTGAAAATGTAGCAGTAGCACTTACGTTCGTGTCTCCTTACTTCGCTACCTTGTTCAGTAGTATGTAGTTTCACAACCTCCACAATGCCTTATAAACCTTTCAAATCTCTGTAGGCGGTATGCAAAAAATAGTCTCCGTTAAATTGAAAGATCATGAAGTTACTGAAAACCATCATGAAGTACAACTACACTGGAGAAATAATACTAAATGAGGAAAATGTTCAACAAGTTTGTCGTTTGTTCTATGTCTGATTATTTTTCATTACATTTCACGCGTGGCATTTTTGTACAAGTTTCTTTATCAGACTCTTGTAGCGGGTTAAGTATCCCTCTGCAATTACTTTTATTTTATATTTATAGCATCAGCTGATTTGAAGAAAAGAATTTAAATTGGCTTATTTGAAAATTTAACAAATATCAATTTATTTTATTTTACCTGGACAATTTTAAAACCGCTATCACTCTCATCATAAGTTTTTTCTATTATTCATGAAAAAAAACCTGCGGCGTAAAAATTGAACTCTCAAAATTACCAAAAACCACTGAGCTTCAATTTATTATTATACGGTGGAAGAGATAGAGTAGCATCCCACCTCAAACCTCGTAAAGCAAACATGAAAATGTCCCGTTGAACAAACTCCAAGAGATCAATACGCATCCATAACTACGAAGCCAAACTACCGACGAATATTCAAGAGTTAGCCTAACTGAAGAAGTATACAAACACTTCGTAATGTGTGGGTCTTTAACACTTTAGACCATATTTTTATAAATCGTAAAAGAGATGTAGCTTTACTAACTGCCACTCCAATATGGCTGTCAAACTAGAGTTTTGAATCAAAACAACTCCTAATAGCAAACATTTGTTGTCTTTGTAATAACAAACATTTGTTGGAATTGATCCCCACACCATCGGTGAGCACAGGTTCTCAAAATCAGGCTGAAGAGGTTTAGTACCTAGGTTAGTCTGCCGGTCGCTGTTGAATAGAACAGACCCAAATTTAATAATTAACCTTTGTCCTAAGAAATTTTATTATCTAATGAGGTAAAAAATTAAAGCTTTGAGATGGAATGTATTTTCTTGAAAGGATGGTACTTTCCATGTCTTACTTAAAGTTACTTTTATCCTAAAAGTCGTTACGATTCGAAAATGATTGTTGTTAAGTATTATCGGTTGCCAGGCTTATGCATGTTTGCGATGGCTTAGGGGTTCATTTGCAATTTGGTCCTGTATCGGTTGTAAGTGTGGCTCTATGCTGGTTGTGTACATGTTTTTTTTCTTTTTTTTTCCTTCTTATTTGTTTTATTGTACTTATACTAAGTTTTATTATTAATTTAATATAAGTTTTGCATTATGTGCCAATTGAACTTGACTGTTATTTGTTTAGTTGAGTTTCATGTATAAGTAGAATTAAAATAAATACATAAATAAATAAATAAATACTATTGTAATTTTTAATTAAGTCTATAATGGTGTAGGCCTAAAGGGGAGCCAGCCATTTAAAAGAATTGGCAACGCGCCTGTCACGGTACCTCATGAGAGGCGTGGAAAACCATCCTAGGAAGCCGATATAAAGTATCGTTATGATTGTCAGTCAGCAATGTTAAATGAATCGTGCCATATATTGCCTATTAGTGTTCGGTGGACGAGGAAATGCCCTTTCATTAATGGTTTTTAAAACATTCTCTACTTGCAACATTTTAAACGTGGGCTCTATCAAGGCCTTCATTCGACGACATAGGCTATTGGCTTGTTTTAATTCAATAAAAGGAATTGTTAAGCTTTGCATAAATCGCTTTTCGTCGGTCAGCTTTCACCACTGCTCTATCACAATTGAGTAAGTAAGACGGTAATAACGGACTGCCGTTACGCAAAATCACATTTGAAAGAATAGCGGCTTGCCGTTATGCAAAGAAAAAAAGGGAAAGAAAAAGAAAAATCTCTAGTCATAATTGTATCTCTTTCTAGATCATTCTATTATGCAACAGAGAACCATAAAAAGAATACGTCTCTGTATTTAGAGCATATTAGTTTTGTTTGTATCTGAAGTTCTGAACAGATTTGACGTAGTACTTTGTCATGTTAAGATCTCGCTCAACGATATTTAAGATAAAAGAAGAGCAAAAATTAAGCACGAGCAAAACAAAGAGAAAAAAGTAGTTCTGGTTTTGAAGCTTTCCACGGTGAGTTGAGGAGGAGAGTAGGGTTTGAAATGTGGTGCAATGAAGAACGGAGTGTGTTGGTTTAAGGTAGAAAGCAAAGCGCGCGCGATTTCGGGAAATGGATTTTACTTTGAACATCTTGAACGGAACGCGTGCGAAGACAATATCATGTATTAAAATTTTCATAAAACTTAATAAATTTGTTAAATAAATAGCAGTAAAACGAAATAATTATTAGATTTCGTCAGCTTTCAAATTAGAAATTTAATTAATTAGGGCTAAAATTGCTAAAATTTTAACATTACAATTACAACTACTTTATTGGCTGTTTAATAAAAAAAGCAAAAAACAAAAAAAATAAGAAATAAATAAAAGCAAAAAAATGTATTGGTGTAAAAACCAGAAAATTATGCAAGTTTTGTAGAAAGAGTTCAGAATTGAAAAATAATAGACGCAAAGAAGGAAATTGGTAATATTAAAATATTACGAAAGAACAAAAAAATATTAACATTAATATATTAACCAAAATTAGAAGACGACTTATAAATAAATAAATAAATAAATATATATGAAGTTCAGTTTTTGCTAAGTTTGCCACCCCAAATTTCTTTCTTATTTTCTTTTACTTTAATTTTTTTTACTTTAGTATGAAATAAATCATTTTATTCATTAATAGTTTGTGAGGACCATTCATTTATGAACATTATTTTGCTTATTTTCACGCGCATTCTAGTCTAAGATTACTTGAAATTAAAACCGCAACCGCTTTAACCCGAAGATAACCACGAGAAGCAAACTCTCTCCTATAACAGAACTCAACAATTCACCCCTAACTTATTGGGTCACGCTCTTTTATAATCGCTCGATGCTTTGTCTGTCTTATTGTTATTGCTGACCTAGGTACCAAATCGTATGACTTTATAAACCGCAAAACCTTATTGCCCGCATGTATAGGAAATGCTACGGCATATTTATTGAGTATTGACTTATGTATAATCCGCCTGAGTGGACGAATAGGCAAACGTCTCGATTAGCAACTCAATGGACTTAGGTTCAAATCTCAAGTGCGGTAGACTTTTGAACAAAGTCGAAAACCTTAGATGCTAACGCTTTAAGACTTTAGTGTTAGAATTTATTCTCTGGCTAAAGTTATAATAATAATAATAATAATAATAACTAAAACTTGTTTATATTGTTATTGGTAAAGGAGCAAAACACTTCCCTACAAACACGTTAAGTAGCATTTAATGCCGTTGAGCGAACGATCATCGGTTTGGTCTTGCAACAAAAATATCAATGCAAATCGAAAGGCTAAATTTAATGCGCTGCTCGTTGACGGTGCAGATCTAAAGACCGAGTCATTTTAAATTGGTATGAAAGATTTGCTTCGGCTGGGAAAACTCTTTGAACCCCCTCTCATACAACCTAAGAACAGTTGAATCTTTGCATTATAGAATCTTTACCTAATAGAAATATATAATTTTGAATATTTCATGGTGAAAATTGGATCATATTAGTAAATTGACAAAGAAACCAACCATTCCAAATTGGGATCAGTAGGTAGAGTTCTCACGAAATGTAATCCC